ACACACACACACACACACACACACACACACACACACACACCCCCCTAAGGAACTGGTATGAACTAGCAGGATTTCCATCAGTGCCATGGACAGCATCGCAGACAGGAGCAGCTGAAGCCTAGAGAGTCATCGGACAACTGCAGATGTCCACAGAGTGGGGCTGTAGGAACTCATGTATGTATGTAACGCAGTGCAGCACGTGAGTGTCTGCACAGACGGCCATGCTGCATTATGAAGTGTCCCTGTAGGTGACGGGGTAGCTTGGACCTGCAATCCCTGGAAAGACTTTAAAAGCAGGACCAACAGAAGACGGTTGTTTGGCTCGATCTGTTTAGGGGCACCAGGCAGGGAGATCGGGATCTGTCCCTGGTCTATGGGCAGGCTTCTGGAATCTGGTGCCTGTGGTGTGACACCTTGCACAGCCTTGGTGCAGTGGGAAGGGGCTTGGACCTGCCTGGACTCAGTGTGCTGGACTCTGCTGACTCCCCATGGGAGACCTCGATTTGGGGGATGTGGGGATGTGGGGTGGCTTGGGAAAGAGGGCGGGAGGTAGGAGGGGGGGGGTCTGTGGATAGCATGTGGAGTAGAAAATTTCTTAATTAAAAAAATGGGAAAAAAAGAAAAATTGTTAATAATAAAAAAAAAGAAAGCAGGACCATCTGGACGGCATATGACGGACAGAAGTGGCCACAGGTGAGGTCTTCGCCCACTTTGCACAGCACTAGAGAAAAGTAGCACTGTTCAGGACTGAGATGGTGGAAGACAATCCGGAGCTGTCACAGAGAGGGGAGCCCTGAACTCTGTGTATTCCTGTCTGTTCCATGGCTGCCCACAGAGCCACACAGCGGCAGGGGGACCTTGAGAGTCTACGCAGACATAACATCCAGAAGGAAATACAGAATAGGGCATTTGTTATCTAAGGGAGGAGACAGGGTTTGGGATGTGAGCCAAAGTAACTACCTGTCAAAACAAATCCATTTTCTGTGTGTGTGTGTGTATACTTGTGGGGGTTTTCATGGGTCTCATGTAGCCCAGGCTGGCCTTGAATTCACTACATAGCTGGGGTTGGCCCTGGCCTTCTGGCCCTCCAGGCTCCCTCTCTTATAGCTGGGATTACAGGTGTGTACACTGCCTACAAAATCCATGTCCTAGCCGGGTGGTGGTGGCGCACGCCTTTAATCCCAGCACTCGGGAGGCAGAGGCAGGCGGATCTCTGTGAGTTCGAGGCCAGCCTGGTCTACCAAGTGAGTTCCAAGAAAGGCGCAAAGCTACACAGAGAATCCCTGTCTCGAAAAAAAAAAAAAAAAAAAAAATCAATGTCCTCCAGGGTCAGCAGAACCCAGAGTCTCTACTGCATTGAATACGCAGTAAAAACACCTGGAAACACAGGGAAGGGGAAGCAGCAGCCAATGAGAAGTGAGCCCGGGTGTGACACCGGCACACTGTGCCCAGATGTGGTGTAAACACGCTCCAGGGCAGAGGAAAACTCAACACAGCCGACAGACAGACAGACAGACAGACAGAGAATCCCAGCAGAGAACTTACTGCAAAGAAGAAAAGGGAAACTTTACACTGGGGGTGTGGGGGTGGGGGTGTGCCTGTGTGTGCCTGTGTGTGCACACTAGTGCACCTATGGACAGGGTATGCATGCACCGGACAGAGTGCTTGTGGGAGTCGAGCCCCTATCACTGTGAAAAATCAAATATCTCAAGACACCAAATGGCTCAACAAACAGCTGCAGTTCTTTGTGCAGTGACCTAGAACATAAAACATTCCTAATCCCACTTGCAACAGCTTCAAATATAAATCAAGGAAAGGAAAAGTCAGAGATGAAGGGCAACACAAATCAAGAAATTCAAACACACAAACCTTATTTAAAAAATTATCATGTCGCCGGGCGGTGGTGGCGCACGCCTTTAATCCCAGCACTCGGGAGGCAGAGCCAGGCGGATCTCTGTGAGTTCGAGGCTAGCCTGGGCTACCAAGTGAGCTCCAGGAAAGGCGCAAAGCTACGCAGAGAAACCCTGTCTCAAAAAACCAAAAAAAAAAAAAAAAAAAAAAAAAAAAAAAAAAAAAAAAATTATCATGTCAGTCACAGGTGACGTCACCCAAAACTAGACGGCAAGGAAAACACTCGCCCAAAGGCAACAACCGAGTCAGAGGAAGCATTTGTAACCACACCCCTGAGGAGGGTGAGGTCCACAGTATAGGAGGGACTCATAAATCAGCAGCACCCCCCCAAAAAAAAACCCCTAAAACAAACAGAATTTTTAAAAATAAGCAACCAAGTGTGGTAGCAATGCCTGTAATACTCCAACTTGGGAGGCAGAGGTTGGAGGATCAGTCAGAGGCTAGCCTGGGCTACATGAGACCCTGCTCCAAAAATAACAACAAAAAAGAAGAGGAAGGGAAGAAAGAGAGAGAAGGAGGGAGAGAAAGAAGGGGGGAGGGAGAGAGGGAGGGAGGGAAGGAAGAAGGGACAGAGGGAAGGAAGGGAGGGGGGTTGGCAAAGGACCCCCCCCCAAAAAAAAAAAACCCATTTTCCAAGGAGACCCAGCATGGCGACAGGAACACGGAAAACTCCAGCTGTCAGGAAACGCTGCCTATCAAACCCCAGGGACACATCTCTACTCAAACGGCTGCTGTGAAAGACAAGAGGGTGGCTGTCAGGATGGCTCAGTGGTCAGGAGCCGGCCCTGCAAGCATGAGGGACCCGAGTTCAAACCCCAGAACCTACAATAACAAAACAAAAACAAACAAACAAAATCCCAGAACCGGAAGGTGGAGACAGGCTCACTGGTTGGCCAGCCAAGCCAACGTGGCAAATTCCAGAGCAGGAGAGGCCACGTCTCAAGAAACACGAGGCTCACAAGTGGTGTCCACTCAGGCATGGACGCCCACAAAGACAAGACATGTTGGCAGAAGGGGGAACAGAACCTCCTGTTACACTGTGGCAGGAGCCCAAACTGAGGCTGCCACCGCGGAGAACAAAAGGGAGAGCCTTTGAAAAGTTACCACCAGCCAGACATGTCTGCGCACACGTGATCCCACCCTCCGGACGCGGAAGGCAGAGGGACAAGAGTTTCAGGCCAGCCTGGGCTACCACAGCTACACCCTGTCTCAAGTCAACCAACCCACCGAGAGCATCACTGAGTGATGGGTTCAATCTCTCTGGGGTGGGTACTGGAAGGAGGTGAGCTCAGCACCTCATAAAGCCACCTGGAGGGCATCACCCACATGACCTCGCCTGCAGACAAACGTACAGAGACAGGAGCCCGGTGACTGTGGGGGTGGAAGGTAGGACGGGGAGACGCTGGCACAGACCTCAGGGATGTGCACACAGCACGGTGATGACCGTTAAAGCAGTCTCGAAACCCGCTGACAGGGGCCTTGAGAGAGCTCTCACCACCCCCACACTAAGGTCATGACCCCAGATGGGCTGGCTGGACGGTGGTCATCACTTAGAGAGTGCATCAAACCTTCACTCAGCACTCCTCAAACCTAGGTAAAAACTTCCTTGTCAGTTACAGCCAGGGCAGCAAGCGAAATCCTGAAGTCCACGAGTCAGACAGGACAGTGCTGGCGAGGCCTCGGGACAGCCTGTCTCGGCACCCGCGAGGAAGGGTGCAGCCGCCCTGGAGAACAGCTTCTCAAAGGTTGAGTCAGCGTCTCCACATGTGGCATCTACCAGCTCCTGGGCATACACATTCATTTACACACACACACACACACACACACACACACACACACACACACAC